TGATATTTTCTATTGGATGGAAAATAATCATCCAATGATTGATATGTTCACTAACCATCTTGCCTCATTAAGTGATTGCCCCGTAGAAATTGTCCACAGCATTATTAGATGACGCACTGCTAAGTTTTCCACGGCTGAGCAATTGCAGAAAGAAGCGCGCTTTATTTTTCAATATCGACAGGATAATGATTTTCGACGACATTTTGTAGATTCCGTGAAATATCTATATCAGCCAAAGTAATTGCGAATGCTTTCTCAAAAGTGTGCCATAACGCTTTTGGATATGTTTACGAAGATATATCAAGCGCATTATCAGTATCCTTTGATTAAATCTTCCAAAAATGGTATCAACACGTACAAATTGCCTTCGCTAGATTATGAAGTTACAGATCGTTATCTTCCAAGAGGTTTCGTTACTCCTAGAAAACCAGATACTGTTACTTTATGTGATTTTGAGTATTGTAACATCACTAACAGTTCATCTGATAGCAGAATTCTTGCATGCGGACATGGTTATCATAATCTGTGTCTGCAAAGATGCCAGTCTAAATGTTTAATATGTCTAGACTACCTTCAAGAAGAAGTTAAGAAAAACGTCAATGCATTGATGATAAGTTTAATGAAGGAATTAGATGCAAAAAAATCCACGCGTGAAGATAGTGAAAATGTGGTTGAAGATGATTTGGGTGATGTGGAAGAGGTAATGGATGAATTGACGGAGATGGAAATTTTATTGGAGCATGCAAAAAAAATATTTACAGAATTGTTGTAAAATTGGTCTCTTAAAATGTATTACAGTATTATAAACTATATAAAAAGATCTATTTCCTTATTTGGGATGGATGTGAAAATCGTGTAACTATGGACGGTCTCTCTTGTATCACGGGATAGGATCACAAATGTGTGATGAACATGAAATTAAAAAAACGTCGTATTCAAAAAACTAACAAATAATAGATATTTTTTACATCTGTATGTCTATATATTTATTTGTAACAATAAAGCAATTATATATATTTTTTCTGAATTTATTTTTATCGTGTACTTTATTTTTTACCGCATCAGGCCCTTTAGGGGCGACTCTTCGAGTCATAAAGCTGACCCCGGTGGCTAATTTATCGTAAAGAATCGTGTTTAGTTTGCATGGGTTTCCTTCTGGCCAGAAGCGAAATTTCATCACACGAGTATTCATGCTAGTTAGCTCAAAAATTAAATAAATCTTTATTACTAAAAATGCAATTCGAATTAGTAGAGAAAGCTAAGGAAACCACACTAGCCGAGCTTAAGGCTAAGAATGTAGAACTTAAGGCTGAGAAAGCCGAGCTTGAGGCCACGCATGGAGAATACGTAAAGCTTAAGGCTGAGAATACCAAACGAATTATAGTGAAATATGCTAAAAATAAGGCCGATATAGTAAAATTAAAAACTGGTTTGCAGTATCCAATCCTCTTTGAGCGTATTAAGGCTACAATTCTTGAGCTAAAAGCAAGGAATGCAATATTAAGACCAATTATAGAGGGATTTGCAAAGAAATCAGAATATAGCCAGCCTTTGAAAAGAAAAATCGCAAATTCCAAGTTAAATGTATTCAAATAGCTGAGGAAACTCTTAACGAAAAACCAATAATTGAATATCGTCCTCCCTTCTTGAATGGACTGGAACTCGATGCCTTTTTTCAAAACGAATTGCATTAGAAGTACAAGGAGCTCAGCATCGGCTTCATAACATTAGCTGGTATAAGGATATCAAAAGATTTGAGGATATAGTTAATCGGGATCGAAAAAAAAGATGCTTGTGTCAAGATAATGGGATTTTCCTACTTGAGGTATAGTACGATGAAGGTTATTTCGAAGATACAGAATTCATTTAAGCATTTAAAAATTTTGACCTATAATCAAATATATATAATATTTCTAAGTTATAACGGAATACGAATTCAAAAATTTGGGATGACACATATGTTGATATAACCATCTGATTCTGGTATCATAATGCGTAGCAAATTTATTAAATTTATTATGAATACAATAGTATAAAAGTCTGCTAATTTTCGTAGTGCGATGGCAACCACATTTCCAGGTGCTGAGAATAGTTTTAGGGTTAGTGGAATTAGTCGTTCACGTAGTAAAGTTACTATTTTATTCTTGTTTAAAAAACATGAAATAAATATTTATTTTACGTATTCATATAACATACAGTACAAGAAATACGAGAAAAATTGAGTCGTGTTCTAAAAAATTTAGTTAATTCAATCCAAGATAATACAAAATCCGAGGTATTAATAATGTATTTTCATTTTTTTGGAACACGTATTTTGAATTAAGCCAACAAATCTGTTTCTCTTAGATGATCAGTCAAATCGAAAATGAAATTAATGCGACACTATCCGAAGTACATGGTGATGTGGATGTTATAGAACTTGAATTACCACAAATAAAGGCCAAGGGCAAGAAACGTGATAAAATTTTTGAAGCGATCCATAATATTTTTGACGCCGAAATTATTGACAATAAATTGTTCAGTAAAGTAGGGTACCATATTTGTTTTATAGTTATTTTATATACATTTCTCATTCTTTTTTGTTTACTATTCAAGTATAATAACGGGGTTAAAGCAGAAATACATTCTAAGTTGACTTATTCACTTGATCAACAACTTCCAACTTGGTGGAATCAGATTGATACAATATGTGTAGTTAACGGTAATCAGTATCGACCTGATGTGGGTGGTTGGAACCCTAAACCAACACTTGATCAAAGGCGTACTCCTATTTATTAATTCAAATCCACCGCCATTGTTATGGATTGAGGTGAAGACCTTATTCCTTATCTCTAAAACC